CTGTCGGGCTGTTTCAGAGGAGGGTGCAGAGACAGAGGAAAAAGGTCGTATTTGTGTCAATACAACGTCCCCTGCGATCCCGGCCAAAGCGGGGTGTGATGTGGGGACTTGTGTGACAGAGCTGAAGGTGACAGAGTCAAGGCCCACCTGGGTGGGTGTTCGTGGTACAGATGCTGCTGAAGCTGTGCTTGGGTGATGTTGGGATCTGGTCGGGAGGGGGAAAAAGAAAAAATTAATTGATTCCGTGAGGTGACCTGAAAAAACCATCAGATTCTTCAGCGGGTGCATCCTTGAGGCTGGCTTGAAGCCAAGCCGGAGGGATGCGAGCGTCACGCTGCTGCTCCACAGCGGTGAACGCTGATGTGAAGGTAGATGGACACCATGCGGCCCACACACGTTTGGTTCTGCCTCTTTTCTTCTGCCAGTGCTAAAATCTGATTCCCTGAGCCCGGGGGTCTGTGCGTGACAGAACTGCTGAAAAATTAACCCAGCAAGGGGAAGCCCTGGTCTTTGTCTGCGTGGAGGCCCCTCCAGTCTGTTGGCCTGGGTGAATTTTCTCATGGGTCTGCTCACTGTGCAGCAAAGTGAGGGCAGGAGCTGAGGCAGCGCAGGTGGGAGCAGGCAAGGGGCGAGGGGTGAGACCGCGTTTGGTTTAGCGGTAGCAAGGTGCCAGGTCATCTCAGTACTTGAACACCACAAAATGCTGGTTTGTGCGATACCACTGTCCTGCTGACTCTGGACTGCTGTTGTACAGCACTGGCGTTCAGTGGGGAACCCCTCTCACCTGACCCCATGAATTCAAAATGAGGTGGCTTCCTTCCCGGCACATGAGGTCGCAGCACAGGGAGGTGCCGAGCTGTCCCAGGGTGACTGCTGCCGCTGGCTGAGGTCTCCAAGAGCTCGGGCAGCCCCACGCTGTTCCCCCGCTCTGTGCCTCAAGGCGTCGAGTCCCGTAGCTGCCGCCATCTGGCAAGAGAGTGCCGAGCGGGAGAGGTTTGGCGTGAAGCTGTCCAGACCAGAGGTGCAAATCTGACCACAGGAGTGCGTAAGGGGGCAACCGAGCTGGGGTTGTCTCATCCCGCCCGGAGAGGTCTGGCCAATCCGCAGCACTGAGGAGTCTGCTTGGCGAGTCCCGTTTGCCCGAAGTTGCGGGGAGGGGTTGTGAACAACGCTTCCAGCTTTCTTTTGAAATTACCTTGAGCCTTCCTTCCTCTGCATCGTGTCACCTGCGTCCATCTCTCAGTGAGGAAAGTCACCGCGCTCGCTGCATTTGCGGTTGTCTGCGAGCAGCAATGTCCGTGCGCATCGGATTCTCCTGCTCCCCGGGAAGGGCTCGCCTGGGACCCAGGTGCCGACGGGGGAGGTGATACCTGGCAAGCCCTGAGCACCTGCCAGACTTCTGGCACCTCACGCCCTCGGGAAGAGCAGCCGCTTGCAGAGCCGTTGGGGTGCGATGCGAAGGGGTGAGGATAACGGGTTCGGGATGGAGCTGGGCAGCCAGACAAAGCACGTGTCCTGACAGACAGCTGAGGTCCAGCGGGAGCTGGGCTGGAGCAGTGGCACCTCTGGGGAAAGCTGGAGCTACTGGTGACAGAGGAGGACATTTGTGCCCCCGCAAGAGACCCGCTGCCATTTGGGAAGAGCAGCCGCGGCAGCTTTCTGTCCCGAGTATCTCTGACCCACTGGGCTTGGCTCTGTTTAGCCGCACTGTGGCTATCAGGTACAAAGCGTCTGTCGAAAATCCCTGAATCCAGCTTAAACCCAGGCTGCAGATCCCAGGAGTGGAGTCAGAAGCAACCCAGATCTCCACGGCTAAACCACAGCCGGTGCGAGTCTGCCCGCATCTTTCTGCAGTAGCTTGGTTTTGCGGCGCCCAGCTTGCCCCCCTCCCCGAGGCTCAGCTCGTCTCTCCGGCAGCAGCATTTGCCAAGTGCAGCCTTGGGCCTTGCTCCCCCTTCCCCTTTTCTTGTTGGCACCTCTCGAGGCTGGCTGTGTGGTGGGTTTTAGGAGAGTTTGGGATGAAACTTGGGATGAGTTTGCTCAAGGGGCATCTGCACAGCTCTGAAAGTCTTCCATTTTGTTTACTTTTCAAAGACAACACCTTTTAAGACCTCCATTAAGAAAAAGGAAGCAGACGGTAGCAGATAAAATTACTTCAGACCTTTGGTATGACTGAAAAATAAATGAGAGGTGTGCAGTGTGGAATGAAAATATTGCTGCAAATTGCCTTGCCGGATGGCAAACAGCGGGCAGGAGCACAGGTTTCCCTCTGCCCTGCAACTGAAAACCACGCTTTTTATTTTCCTGCTCACTGCAGGCATGACGATGAATTTCGGTCAAAGAGGATGTGAAGATTAATTAATTAGTTAACATTTGTAAATGACTTTGAAGATGGCAAGAGTGAGATAAGTACTGAGCATTATTATTATAGGTTTTCATTTTAATTTTAAATGTCTTCATGTTTTTAACCCTGTTTTCTCCCAAAGAAAAAGCTGAGAAAAGAGGCCCTGAGCGGAGCAGAACAGAAATACCTGCACAGATGACACCCTGAGACCTGGCAAAGGATGGAGGTTTAGGGGACTACAGAAGAGAGGGCACGGAGAAGCGTTCGTCCCAGCTGTAGGAGCAGGAGCTCTGCCAGCCCTGGCACGGAAAGTGTGACGACTCTCGCGCAGAGATGCATTGCAACACCTCTTTGGGTGCTATACTTGGGGTGTTCACACCTGGACTCTGAAAAGGCAGGAGGTGGGAGAGGCCCTGAACGGCTCATCCCCGATGTCTGACTTGCGCCAGCCGCCCTGTGCCAAGAGGTAACCATGGGTTCTTACTAGGAATTGGGGTTAATTATGGTAACTCTTCTTACTGCGTTACCGGGGGCACAGTTTCTGCTGGGGAGCTTGCCGCTCCCCTTCTTGAAGGTGCGGGGGGGGGTCAGACACCGTGGTGCCAGCAGCCCAGCGTCTGCTGCCGTGCCTGTCGGTGCCTGGCAAGTGGGGAGAAGCCCAAGAGCTGGGCAAATGCCCTGCAGGACTCCTCCTCACCCTCTGGTGGTTTGTGCTGGGGACAGTGGAGGAGGTCTTTGGGCTTGATGGTCCTCAGCAGGGCTCCCCTCCAAGGGAGCCAAGGTTTGGTTTACTAGGGTTGCTGAGTCTGCCCTGGCCCACCTTCCCCAAATGAGACGGAGGGAGGGGGCCTTCTTTTGTTTGTTTTCTGATGGGCCAGTGTGTATCAAAGTAGCTGTCAAACATAACCAAGCCCCCTTTTTGCCACGCTGTCTTAGGGGAGCGTCTTGTGACAGCAGGTTTCCCCAGGCTGGTCCGGGGTGACGCGGGAGGACGGCTGCCCTGACCCTGCCCAGCCTCAGCCCCATGCCCGCCGCCTCCATCCTCCCGGG